ATGCCTGCCACTCACAAGGCAGGCATGTCGCCTACGGAGCGAAGGCTCAGTCTGGGGCAAATGAGTGGAGAGGAATTTTAATCGGGGATTTTTGTACCTCAACTTATTTTTATTCTAAAAGTGATCTAGATTGGGTAATAATGTATTTATTTATGTGGACTCACTTATTTTTGGCTTTTACTTGTTTCTGAATTGTAGTGCGTAGCAAAGCAGATACTGTTCTAGTTATGAATTTGATTTATTTTTGAAAGCAGCCCTGAATCCCCAAACTCGCTGTGTACTGGGCTCCACAGGTGGCCCGAAGCCCCCCACAGAGTCTGTGTTGCACCCTAAGAGGTCTTCCTCTGTTGTTGGCATTGTTGTCCCCTACAACCCGCATCTCAGTGACACTCCCCTTGTTGCTGGGAGCAACTCCCAGGAAAGCCCTCTGTAGACACAGTGCTTAACTAGGTCCCTGGTCCCCAAAGAGGGTAAACGGGCAGAAAAGTGCAAAAATAATCATGCTTTTTAGACTCTCTTTTTGACATTAGTCAGCAGGAATAGTGATCCCTGGTTTGGAATAGCTGAGCCAGAGTGTTGGGCACAGAAGTTAATCAGTTGGGTCTTCAAAATGTAGAATAAAATGTGAATCTCCCAACATTCGACATGCCCCGTTCTCTCGCCCTTTCGAGGATATGTTGAACATTTCAGCTCTACCTGTAAAAATCTAGAGTATGTGTGTGGCTGCATTGCTGTTGACTTGCACAATAAGTGTGTGCTCACTGCTTTAAACTTAAAAACCTCGGGCAGCTCTTGGCGCCCTTGGCCGCATAGCAGGTGCTCATCCAGGGGTGACGCGTTCCTGCCATTCTCCTTTTCCGGGCCCTCTCTTCTGTCTGTTGTGTTGCTCTCAAATCCTTCCCCTGTAGCCCTTGTTTTCTTTTCTGAGACTCATTAGAGAGATTAAGTTGTCACCCAGGCACAGAGTCACAAGGACAAGGATGGAAGGTGTGCGAGGGTCATTCTGGGCAGACTTCTGGCCCCCACGATGCCTTCTCTGGCCCCCTGGGAAGAAGCCCAGCAACCCAGTGGGGCTCTGCCTCCGCGGTCACAGCCCGGACTGCCACACGGTGGCACTCAGACCCCGTGCTGGAGGCCCTGGCTGGCTCCCACTCTGGTGTCCCTTTATCTCTAAGCCACAGATGAATTTTGCTGTCATATAAAAGAAGAGTTGTTTGCAGACTTTAAAACAAGAATCCCTGTAAAAGTCTAAATAACAGGCTGTAGTTTTCAAAACAGGGCTGCTTTATTTAAATATCCTGCACATTGAACATCATTGCTGTGACTTTCATTTCTGCACTGCTCCCTGGGTGGCTTGTTTCCATGTCCCCTGAGAAAGCTTGAAAAACAAGACAGAACGAACAGAGAAAAAGAGGCCCTCCCCCGCCGCCTCCGGCTGGAGGGCTATAATTTTTGAGATCTGGGGAAGACGAAGAATTTCAGGAATGTGTTTCCACATCGATGGGAAAATATAGAAGCACAGGTAGTTTGATTATTTGTTACCAGTAGAAGCTTCGATGACTGGCCTGAGGGGTACGATATTGTGGGATATTCTCACCGTCAATTTGAGACCCATACAAAAGGGCACCGTTCTGACCCAGACTAGATTCCAGCTTCCGATCCATCTTGATTTCTTTTAGTGGCTGCTCATTTTGTAGTTTCCACCATTAATCACCATTTCTGCTGTTGCCCTGAGCTCCATCTAGTTTAAACCGATTTATCTGTGCTATAACCCTAAAGCAAACTAGTCTGCAGAGATTAACCAGAGAGCAAGCTAATCAAGGCCAGATGTGCAGCGTGGCTCGGTAGTAGTTGTGAGTGTGCTCAGTGCAGGTTTGCAACATTTCCAGTTCCACTGCCACTTTACAGGACGAAACTTAGCACAGTCACATTATATATTTATTAATATGGGGAGAAGTCTTTGCCCTTAAGTTAGAAATGCAGAGACTTTTTAGGTGATTGTGCAGCTCACAGTCTAATGCTAAGAAGGGGAGAATAAACAGCAAATAGTGTGAGAAGAGATACAGACAAAAGGAGACAGAGAGGCGATCTTCTCCGATGGGTGGGAAGCCCGCCTTGTGCTGTGGGGTTGTCACCGTGTCGTTGCCTCTTTGGCTCTTGCGTGGCAGGCTGGTGCCCGGGGTCACAGCTCCAAAACCAGGACCCCAGGGAAGATCTACGTCGGGGGGAGTCTGCCCGCTGAGCAGTACGTCTCGGGGGCTTGTCCTCTCCTGGCCAAACAGCAGGCCCGTTCACACAGGACCGCAGTTTTTCGGATGAGGACACACGTGTCGTACAGCTCAGAGGGGGATGTTTCTTAACGTCCTCATGCCTTGTCTAAATACTTGCTGGTGTGCAAGCGGTTAACTAAGGGAGCTCAATGTGCCGTTTGAGCCTGACTTTGTAAAATAAAAAGGACTAGGTGTGAACTGAAGGCAAAACACCTTTGCCCATTCCTGCCAATAGAAACAGCTGGAATCCATGGGTCACTGTGTGAAAAGCGCAGGGGTCGTGTTGCTGTTTACTATGAGAACAAACAAAGGCAGGCTCTCTATCAGCAGAAGGCAAGAGAACATTCAGGAATAGCTGTTAAGTGCCTGTATCTTGGGGGCACCACGTGGCGTTGACACCCTGTGGCCTTGATTCTCACAGCGAGCCCTCTGGGGAAGGCGGCTCCCCCGGTTCACAGACGAGGGTTTGACGTAGGAGCGCAGCATATGCTTAGAGCCACAGGTAGCAAGTGGGAGAGCGGAATTTCAAGCCCAGTTCTGTTTAATTCTAGAATTCAGCCAAAAGATTTTGACAAGAAAACTGAACCCTAGACTTTTACAAAGGATTGTTCAATGGCTTGCATAAGAAACTAATGTTATTTGTCATGGTTTTGCCATCAGAAACCTGCCAAGTAAGACGCCACTTCCTGTCCTGCTGTGACTACCGGCAGGAGGGCCCAGCGGGAGGGCTGAGTGACACCTCACAGTCTATTCTTAGTTCATTGCAGTTGGCAATAGAGGGCGCTCTACACTTTTTAGAGTTTTCTCCCAGCAGCACACATTTCCCTCCCACACCTGCCTATTTACAGTCATTACCTACAGGGAAGTCAGATTAATCTTTTGGTTTTAGTGACGTTCTGGCACTTGCTGGGTTTTTAGATTACTCTGAATTTGTATTAACAAGGCACTTTTTCTCTTACTGTATTTGGCTGTGAAATGAGAGACTTACAATACTCGGTCGTTTCTCTACAAAGCAGAAATGTTTGAGTGACCATTGTCTTTATAAGTCTGCTTTTTCTCTGTCATTAACAGATATTGCACAAGGAATATAATCAAGAAAGCAAGCACTGTTTATGGAACAATCATCGAAATAGCGGAAGGAGATTTTAAGTTTTCAAGCTCCATGCACTTAGCCCACCTGATTTATTTCTTAAACCCTGATTTTAACATGATGTTTCCTAAATGGCCCTTTACAAGGAGGCCTTTACTGAATGTGTCACCGGGTTGTCATAAATTATGTCTGAAACAAATGTAAAGAAATCATGTGTGTGAATAGTGGATATATTTTAAACACTCTTCCTGTAGAATAAGTGTTTGTATATGTATGAATACAGCGGTAGGGAGTTTGGAACAAGAAAGACCCAAACGCTTGTCAGAGACTTAAATGAGATGTGAGATTAGAAATCAGAAGGTCATTACTTTAGTGTGGCACCTGCATTCTTGAGGTGGTGTGGATAAGATTCTGCAGGTGAGATAAGATTCAAGTTCAGAATGGTTAAACAGTAGCGGGGTGTGCTCTGTCAGAACGCAGGAAGTCCCAAGGTGTGGTCAGTGCGAACGTGGCTGGCCATCAAGGAACCTGTTTCTTTCCATCTCTCTGCTCTGCTGTCCTTGGGGCTTCTGCCCTCAGCCTCACGATGACAGGGTGGCTGCTGTGGCTCCGAGCATTTCTAACTCACTTCGTATCCAAAGGCCTGGAGACAGATAGTCTCTTAATTGTGTAACCTTTGAGGATGTAGAAATACTTTCCCAGGAGCCCCCTTCTCCCCAGAGGACTCCCCTCTGCTCCCAGTGCCGTCTTAGAAGAGTGTCACCCCCTTTCCAAAGCCAGGCTCCGGCCAGGTGAATGGAGTTACCTTGGTGGGAGTAGACAGACCCCTGGCCTGAGGGAGCGACCTAGTGTCCCTTCTGAAGCACACCGTCTTAGATGACTGAGTACAACTGAAGTTATGTTAGCAGGAATTCCGTTAGAAATGATGCAGGTAGGTGGCCACTCTGGTCTCAAAGTTGCCAGCACCCCTAGAGAAGCACGTGGAGTATGTGCCGCCATTTTTGCCCTCCGAGCCCGAGGAAAATGCCCGGCTTGAGCTTGTTTGAAGGGCTTTGTTAACACAAGTCCTGTCAATCTATAGGTGATTGAAGGCAATACAACTATTCCCCGTAGATCATAACCAATGTAGTGACGTCCTCCTCTTCAATTACCTGAGGCACTTCTTTGACCTGATGGGCACTTCTTGGGCGCTGGGGTGGGATGGGGTGCGGGGAGGACTTGTGAGAGGGGTTGAGGGGTGGCGGGGGGTTGCAGGAGGTAGCAGAGGGGATGGATGATCACTTCTTCTTCCTGATTGCTATCTTGGGGATTGTCTTCATAATCTTCATTGTCTTCATAAAATACGAGGCTGGCAACTGTTGCTACCTCTGCCCCATCCATTAAACACACAGAACATTAAGCTTGTCACCGCTCCACCACAGACATGTGCCTGCCTTCCCCATGGCACCGGCGCCCCTGCCCAGCCTGACGGGCTGGCACGTGTGCCCTTCTGCCGGGTGGTCGCTTTGCACACACCATTCCCCATCCCCCCCGCTTCTCCCCGCCTGCGCTGGGGGTCTCCAGTGTGCTTGTGCTGGGTGCCATGAACAGGTGACTTCTGTACGACAGGTAACCAGAGCCTCTGTTCCGCCCATCCTCAGGGACGTACAGATCGGCTCCTCCAGCACCACCGCTTCCGAGAGTCCAGACCCTTCTTCCGGGGACCAGGCGGTCAGCGCCCTCCAGCAGCAGCTGCTGCTCATGGTGGCGCGGAGGACCCAGCCCGAGACGCCACGGGTACGTGCCTGCGTCGTTGCTGCTTGTGAATGTTCCAGAATCAGGGCTCTTGAAACCTGTCTCCAGGCTGGATGACCTAACAACGTGAGTCAGGCCTTGCCCTGAATGTGACGGCCCGGGGCCGTGGATGGTCCCCTGAATGGTAGTCTCCTGAAGGGATGTGACAAGAAACCGCTTGGTAACAGGTCGCCTTCTGTTGATTCTGCCAGGCTTGCTGCTCTTACTTGCTCTTCCAAGTGCACTGGGCGTTTGTCGACGTCGATCTTTGTCTACTGGGTCCTCAAATCCCACAAGAGCTCACTTGGTCAGGATGCTAATTTTTTTTTCCCCTGTGGTTCAGAAAAGGTCTGGGTTTTTATTACTGTAGTTTGGCCTTATATATTAAGCAATCAGAGATCCTTAAAGATGAACATTTGACTTGAGACACTTTGTTCTTGAAGGAAAGGACATTGTCGACAAGCGGGGGAGAACTCCCTAATGTTCCTTCGCTTAGTGCGCCTCTAACGAGACTCCGGGAGGGGAAGAGCAAGAACTCAAAACAAAGGGTGCCGTGGGCGGCGGGCGCACCCAGACAGGAGCCGAGAGCTGCGGGTTCAGTCCTGGGCCTTTGGAGAGAGAGCATGGGCACGTTCCTCTGGGGGGACGCGGCTGGGCCCTGAGGAAAGGCGGGTTCCACTTGTCGCAGCCTGCGGCGGAGGGTCCTAACGGTGCTGTCGAGTTAGCTGGAGTCTCTTTAGAGCTGTGTTTACCTGCCTCTTGGCAATGTTTTGATTTCTCCTATAGAGTCTTACTTGTGAAAAAATATTAGAGCTTTAATCTGTTTTTATGGTTGCTGAACCAGAATTTTCCATAATATGCCTGATAGTACAGCGCGTTGACGATGGGGCACATGCGAGGGAAGAATGCCCTGTTCTGTTCCAGTGGATCACACGCTGCTCCGAGTCCCGACTCCTGTGGATCCGGGGGGCGGTCGGGTGGTCGGCGGGACTGCAAAGGGCCCGTGGAGCGTAACTCAGCCCTGTCAGGCTTGAAGGGCTTCAGTGGGAAAAAGCATTGGGTTCAAAGAATCCTTTTTCAGGGCCATTTCTTCCCTTCCTTGTATCCAGTCTTACCTGTCTGTCCTCATTTCCGGGGACAGTGGGTGGAGGTGGGAGGGCGCCCTCTGGTGGCCGAGCATTGGGCCAGTCTGGCCACGGGATGCTGCGTGGCCTGCAGGGGTGGCTGCGCCGCCCGTCAGCGTGCAGTGCCGGCGGCTGCAGACCCTGCCATCAGCCCCCACCCCCCGGGAACCTCCGGGAGCCCTGCGTCCTGCGGCCTCCGCCTCTCCACCAGTGCCTGTGGGCTCACCGATCTTTCCTGGGCCTGCGTGGCCCACTCCCGTGGGCCCAGCTCCCGCCTCAGAAGCCGCTACTAGTTTCTCTCACGAGCCATCTTGTGGGGGGAGCCCTGTGGAGTGTGGGTTTCTCTGAGAAACCTGCGTTTCCCCCGACACAGGGAAAACTGTGTGCATTGAAGAGTAGCCCTGCAAGCGGGGAGGCCCCAGAAGGGGGGGTCCACTTCCTTTCCATTAGGACAGGAGACAAAGTGCAATGTAGGACGTGCATGCACTTTGTCTGGGACCCCAAGGAGCAGCACCCTACTGTCAGGACCAGCTAAACACGCTCTGTCTGCACCAGCCCCACCCACGAAGGCCCTGCACGGCGGGCCGCCTGCCTCCATCTCTGTTGGCCAAGGGGGCGGAAGGTGCTCATAAGATTCTGCAACAGCAGAAGAACTTCTAGGTGGGTTTGCGGCCCTCGCTTATAAGTCACGGATGGTCTGCACACTTCTAATGAAGAGTTCAGTTTAGAATGCGGCCAGGATCATATGGCCCCCAAGTTCCTGGCAGAAACAAAGGTTCATTTTAATGTGGAACAACAGAGCCTTAATATTGCCCTCAAAGAATTCATGTTGATAAAGAACCAAGGCAAATATGATGAAGGGGAAGTTCTAAAACGTCCTGGAAAACAAGCGCCCACGAATCAGAGCCAGCAAAGGCAACAGGAAGCAGAAGTACTCTCAGTGAACTTAGAAATTGTAATGATCAGATTCAGAATAGGGATTAAGCATGTCTGATACGTATAAAGAAATAAAAGAATTGAAAATATAAGTGAGAAGCAAAAGGCCATGCGATGACCAAGCAGACCTAGAAAAGCACCATGTACTGCAAATAAAAAAACATAATAATGACAAGAAAACTTGGAAGAATTTAATAAGAAACTTGACACATGAGAGTAGAGAACTGCTGAACTTGCAGTTAGAACTGAAGAAACTATTTATTTCTTTTTAATTTTATTTTTTATTAATCAATAGTATAGTAAAAATGATGGCAATTTTGACACGTGTTTCAAAAGTACATATTAATATATTTTTATGATGTTGCAAAGTCGTATAGCCTTTTAGAGAAGCAGTTTGTGTATAAGTCAAAAGTCAAATGATTTTTCTTCCATTGACCAAGGAAATAAAGTTTGAGGAATGTATTCTTTTAAACAAGTTATATACTTTTTTAAAATTATTAAACGTATAAGGGTAACGTTGGTTAATAAGATTATATAGGTTTCAAGGTTACATTTCTATGATACGTGACCTCTATATTGCATTGTGTGCTCACCACCCAAAGTCAAACCACCTCCCGTCACCTTGTATTTAGAAATGACTGAGGTGTAGCGCAGAGAGGCGCGAGGAAGAGAGAAAAGGAGGCTACGAGGCGTGGAGTCGGCATGGGAGGGGCCTCCGCCCACCGCAGGAGAATTCCAGAGGGAGGGAAGGAGAGAACAGGGCAGCACATGCTCCTGGCAACTCAGAGGCCCAGGCGACACGCGGACGCGGGTGGTGCCGTTCTGGCCGCCTGGTGAGGAAAGGAAGGGCGTTTTAACAAATGGCACCGAATAGTAGTGTTTTTTTATGGGAAAGGAAATGTACAAATACTCCTGATAGACTAATAAATGTAAAAGGCAAAACTGTAGAACTTCAAGAGAGATGATAAAACCAAATATCTTTAAGACTGTGGGGTAGAAAGGGATTGGATAAACAAAACAGAAAAAGTGCAAACATTTTTTACTTTATAGGAAAAATGGATACGTCACAAGGTATTTCATTTAAATTAAGAATGTCCATAAGAGCATAAGAAAGTGAAAAAGACCAGCCATGAACTGGGAAAATATCAATAGTGCATGTCATTAGTAAAGGTTTTGATCATATATACACACATATATGTATGTACACAGACATGCACACAGGAGCACCCATGCACATCCACATATATGCCTACATACATATGCATACGTGTGCACACACATACACATACAGAAACTGATGAAAGACAGACAGGGACCCGAGAAAGAAAAGGGCAAATGATTTCATGAATAAAACCTAAAATTGGACTAAGACGCTCAACTTCATTAACAGCGAGGGAAATGCAAATGAGAACCGAACTGAACCGCCCCTTTGTACTCACCAGATTAGCAGCCATCAGAATGGCCTGACCTGTGGAGGTCTGGCGAGCTGGGGAGCCGAGTGGTGCTTCCGTGCTCCTGGTGAGAGCGTGAGCCGACAGACGCACTTTTGAAAACTCCTTTTTCTAAAGTGTTTTCTAGTAAAGTGGACATTTCCATACCCAGCAATTCTATTCAGGGCAAATGCGCGCATTCCCTGGAAAAGTCAAACAATTTGTTTCCCCGTGAAGTGGGGCCTCCGGTGCAGCTGAGCCTTTGCATTCCTGGCAATTCCACCTGTAGGTGTTTGTTCTAAAGGAATTCCTGCACCTGTGTGCCAGGAGACGCGTTCAAGAATGTTCATAGACACGTGGTAGCAAAATAAAAGAAGAAAGAAAAGAAAAGAAGAGAAAAAGCAAGACGCCCCTAAATATTCAACGGTAACATGGATAAGTAAATAATACATAGCATAGCTACAAAACGGAATATTATGCAACCATGAAAATGGGTTTTACAACTACAAAACAGCATGTGTGAGTCTCAGGAACATAACGCGGAGTGGAGGAAAAGAAGCACAAAGCAAGTTTTAAAAGGATGCATATGCTATGATTTCATGTCTGTGAAGTTCAAAATCATACAACCAAACAATACGGAAGCTCTGGGTGGAAGCATAGCAACACCGAAGGAGAGAAAGGGAGTGACGAACACAGGCTGAGGACCCCTGCGGCCCCCGACGGAGGCGGGGGTGGGGAGTGGGGAGTGGGGAGTGGGGCGCGGAGGATGGCGGGGGAGTGGCCCACAGGGCGTGGCTGTGCTGACGCTGACGCTCTCTTCCTCGTGCTGGGTGACGGCCACCCAGGTCTTCGCTGGGTTGGTGTTCTTACCCCTCACGCACGTTTCAAGGGCCTTTGCATCGACTCAATATTTAACAAAACTGTATATTTTTAAAAAGCATGGTACTTAGTTTTACTCAGTGGCCAGAACCCCAGAGTCCCCAGCTCTCAGGACGAACACAGAGCGCCCGGCCTGACAGGAAGGACCTATTCCAGTGCGCCCCGTGGCCCGTATTTCAGAGCCTGTTTTTGGAAGACGGCTATGACAGAGGTCAATATGAAATACATTAGATTTAAAGAGGGTGATCTTTGGCTTTCTGAGAAATGTGAAACATTTTATTCCTTATCGATAACAAATAAATGAGGTAAGTTAATCGATACCTCATTGTAGGTATAGTCTCTGGAAATGTCGTAACAGGCTAACTATTGTACTTCAGTTTTAAATATGGTATCATGTGTCAGAAGAGGAAAGCTTGATTTTCTCCCTCTTAGGTTTCCCCTCCTCCTCTCTGTCCCCCCATCCCTCCCTGTCCCTCCACTTGCCGGTCCCTCGGCCTCAGCGAGGTCCCCATCCCCTGCGCTTTCCAGGCGTGGAGCCAGCTCTCCTTGGGGAAGCGCAGCGCTGGGCCTGGCCGGCTGTCTGGCCAGCTGTCCGTGGCCTGGAGCCTGCATGACCACCACGACGTCTTCGGGTGTCCTCGCCAGGCAGTGGGGTGCCGGGGTCGGAGCCCACCGGTTCTTCCCACTGCCGGCTCCCAGCCTCGCGCCAGGCTCACGCCAGGCTCCTGAATCCCTCATGAAGTGTTTGTTAGATCAGTGAAGGCTCCGCTGGATGAGAGCCCGTCACAGAGGAATTGGAGGTTCAAACATTTTAAACCTGGCCCTAAGTTTCCCCACCTATTTCTGTTTTATTGGTTTAGAGACTTTTTCTCTAAATATTTCCGTTGTTCTTGTATCAGGCCTCACCAATGGCCTGCACGTTGGCAATAAAAATCTTTTTACTCGGAGTAAAACTTGAATGTTTATCTCAACGTTACATTAAGTAACATACTTTTCACAAATTAAGTCATTTAAGATCTTTTGTTGACTTCTGACCATTCCTGGGAGTTCTTTTCATTGTAGTTTCTTGGCCTCACTTAACAGTAGTGTTTTGATACAAGACGGGGCGTAGTTTTAATGGTACGATATAATGGAAGTGAAGTGTGTTGGTAAGAAAGAGCCTTTTTGTGGACCATTATCCTTTCCTTAGAGCACCCATTTTCATGGAACACATAGGTTTACGTTTCAGAGTTGGAACGTCTGCTTTTCATACTTTTAAATTATGAGGTGTCCCTGTGGCGACAGAGTGTCAGTGTGGGACCCTCTCTCTGTTCTCTCGGTTGGTGTCCGGCAGCACCTGAGTCAGGATCTGGAAGACTCATCGGGTTCCTCAGCACAAGGGAAGTTCAACCGAGAGCAGTTCTACAAGTTTATCATCTTCCCCGGCAAGTGGATTAAAGTCTGGTACGACCGCCTCACCTTGCTGGCGTTGCTGGATCGGTAAGTCGCTGAGCTTCAGCAGTACGACGAGGAGCCCCGGGGGCGGGGGTGGGGGGGCGGAACTGCGGGCGAAGGGCGACAGCCGCGGCGCCGCCACCCAAAGTCGAAGCCCCGAGATCCTGGCCACTGAGGGTTAGAATGGAGAAGTGAGAATCAGGTCCATGGTTTGGACTTAAGGTCAGCTTTGGGGACAGCGCCCTGCACGGGTCTGCCCCCACTGGTGGCCCAGGGCCTGGCCTGACAGGGCGTGGGCATGGGAGGGGGGACGGGAAGCTGAGTGACCTCGAGCTCTGCCCTTGACAGCTTCGCTTCTGCCCCCACTCCTGGCTGATGCTCACTGAGTGGAACGGTCACCTTTTCTTTAAACCCTTTTCCTCACCTCTTACCATGGTTCCTCAAGGCACAGTGCTGTGGGTTGGATGCCCTGGCTGGGCGGCCTCTTTGGTTGGAGCATTGTCCTGTACACCAAAAGGTTGTGGGTTCGATTCCTGGTCAGGGCAGGTACCCAGGTTGTGGGTTCAGTCCCCGGTCGGGGTGTGCGCGAGAGGCAACCGGCCAGTGTCTCTCTCGCATAAATGTTTCCATCCCTCCCTCCCGCCCTTCCCCTCTCTCTAGAATTAATAAGTGTGGGCTGGCGATGAGCTTCCTGGGTAAGAAGGGGTGGAGGGAGCGTCAGGTTGGTTAAGGTGGGACAGTGGCAGGGTCGGGCACTTCCCATGCCCACCCCCACCTTGGGAGATGCAAAGGGCAGCGCTGCCTAGCTCTGCCTGGGTTGCCGCCTGGAAAATGGAAGATGCCCCGCTACTAACGCTGTCAGCAGCAAACGCTGTGCACGGTTAAGTGCCGGCCGTTGGGCAGGGAGGGCTGGTTCCCTGCCGCGCTGTAGTGGGTCCCCGAGGGACTGCTTGTCATTCTAATACCTTAAATGGTGTGATCGCATGCTAAAAACTGTTGTCATGCAAAATTACAACAGCAAATTCCAGGACCCGCAAGTCAAGGAATGGCGTTGTAATGGTTTTTCTAACAAGGCTATGTTACCCGAGGGGCACACACTTAAGGTGAATGCTTCATATTTAACGAAAATAGTCCAAGATAATACATTCTTGGACTATTAGATGAGGCAGGTTTTGAAACATTATTTTTTTTTCTTTAAAAATGGAATTATTGAAATTTGGAGTCACTGGCTTTGATGACGGGGAAAGGATACCTGGGAACTTTTTGCAGTTTCTCTTTAATTTTGCTGTGAATCTAAAACTGCTCTAAAAACTAAAGCCATGATGTACCCAGTCAGACCTCGGCACTGCCAGCCTCCGGCCCAGCTCTCCCGGCTCCTGAAGCGGAGCCCCGGCTCTGGCAAGTGTGTGTGGAGGCAAAACTCGCCATCAGCCAGGCGTTAACATGCCCTTGCCTGTTTGAAGGAGTAATGCTGTGCCTGAGATGCACCTCGCTGTCATGGGTGGAATAGTTAACTAACTGCCTGTTCCCAGTAAACCCACGCTACTGGCCAACGACACCCAATGGGATGACATTTCATTTGCTTCAAAAACAGGATTCTGGGGTTAAAATTTGGTTTGTAAAGCATGGGAGTAAGGAAAGAAAGAAAGAAACCTTAAAAGCTTGTCACGAGGTATAAAGGCGTGCCACCGTAACTGCTCGGCGGTCACTGTCCGTCTTTCTAGAAGCACATGGGACTTTGTTTACCAGGAGAGACACCCCTTTTCCTGCCTCTTTGTGTGTGTGTGTGTGTTTGTGTTGCACAGAACTGAAGATGTCAAGGAGAATGTGCTGGCGGTGTCGCTCATTGTCCTGGTGTCCCTGCTGGGATTTGTGACGCTGAATCGAGGCTTTTGCAAAGACCTGTGGGTGCTCCTCTTCTGCCTCGTCATGGCCAGCTGCCAGTACTCCCTGCTAAAGGCAAGGCCCCCTCTAATTCTTAGCATCAGTAGCGTGTCCTTCAATCCATGAGATGATGACCCGGACTTCTGATTTGTGTTCTAGAGCGTCCAGCCCGACCCAGCCTCGCCCATACACGTGAGTGTCCCGGAGGACAAGTCGCTGGTCTTGTCTGCAGGTGCTGGAGGTGGGGGAACGGCCAGAGCCAACTCAAAAGGCAAACTGTGTATTAACATACGTCTGTATTGAGTATATGAATAGCAGCATGAAGTAGGAACGTCAGTGCCTGGTGGGCAAGTTCAGGCTGGATCTGCGAGCGCGGCGTGGACAGCCGGGGTGGGGATGTGCAGGGTGGGGCGCAGGGAGTGTGTGGCGGGTCTTTTCTATCCGTCTGGACTCGTGGCGGGGAGACCGCGCCGCCTGGTGGGGGAGGCTGCAGACTCTGCACTCCCGGGGCCTGCGTTTGTCTCAGGGTCCCCGCGGAATGCTGGACCCTGAGCGGCAGGGGTACACCCCACGCCTCAGCTTCCCTGTGCGTAAATAAGGGAATACAGAGCCTATGGGGACTGAACAATCCATGCTGTGTACTCAGAGCAGTACCTGGCACCCAGAAATCGTTTAATACATGGTAGCTCTCGTTATTGGTCATGCCAGTTACGAAAGTACGAATCATTCTTTGGACGTTCTCTTCCTATTTCCCTTTATCAGTGTATCGTTACCTTTTATTCCCATCCCTGGGCTACTTTATAGCTGAGCCTCCGGGCTCAGCTGCAGCGGCCTGTTGGTGCTCTGATGTCCCTCCGTGAGCCCAGAAGCCCGCCCCGTGTCCACTGGCCCCGCTGCCCTGCCCTGCGGGCCCCGTGGGATGGGCCCGGCGCTGTCCCCCCGGGAAGCCGGCCGCATGCCTCTGCGCCGACAACACTGCCCGGCAGGCGCCCCGGCTCTTTGAGAACCCCTTATCCTTTGCTGCGGGTGCTCCTGTGGGCCCCCCACAGACGCTTGCAGGGAAAGGAAGCTTGACCTTCCCACTATTGTGCTTTCTAAAAATTCATATCCAGGATTTACGGCTGCTTTTAAATCTGTGCTAGCTCATGTTTAGCTCATAGTAATTAAGAAAAGCTTATAATTGGATGATCACATGGCACACGTTGCTATCTTGTTAAGTTCCTCTGTTCCCATAATTGGTTTGCAGATAATACATCTTCTTTATCCCAGAATCTGACCGTCAGGATGAGCAGGAGCGGCATAATTAGGGTGTTAAGACGTATTGTTGTGATTATCGTCGAAGTCTGGGCTGGGCGCTGTGAGGAGGGCTGGCGGCTCTGAAAGGTGTTGCCCAAGCCCACCACGGACCCCCCGTTGCCTGAGTCAGTGAGGCACCTCGGTGTCGCTGTTTTCCGGGTGACTTGGGGGAGGGGTGGATGCTAGGAAGCGTCCATCTCCTGTGTGTATTTTCAGGAGGAAGGCAGAAGATGCTAGTATAGGAGGGTATTGTGGGCCGCTGCAGCGCCGTTGGGTTTGGCACGTCTGTTGGCAGGACCCCGGCGGCACCGCACTGCGTGGCCTCAGAGAGTCTCTATCGGCCTGGCTCCCAGAGACCAGGTCAGGCCGCTCCCCTTTGTCCACGCGAGCGAGCCATCGTGAGATTGTAAGGAACGGCTTCTCTCACTGCGGAAGGGAGTCCTCCTCGGCCGGGACCGTGCTCCAGGCAGTCATGCAGCCACCGGCACTGGGTCCCCGGCTCGAGCTGGCGTTCCTCACCCAGCCCTAGCGAGGAAGGGAGCTGTGGCAGCTATAAGGCTGGCTTACCGTCTCTGGTTCACAGATGAGACAGCCTCAGGAAGGCGGGGGTCGAGAGCGAGCCAGGTCTGGGCAGGCACGGCCCCCACGCCTGCGCCCTCGCCCGCCGGGCTCAGCGTCAGGTGCCAGGGGCTGTCAGGGAACCCAAGCGCCGCTCAGGACGACGTTACCTGGTGCATTTGGGAAGAGGGGTATTAATCAAGTCAGCTGGTTCTTGCTCTAACAGAGACTGACTGACTTTTCTGCTTTGTTTCCATCCAGGAGCGCAGAGGTGGCCAATTTTGAGCAAGTTGTTGAAACCAGAAAATAGCACAATAAAAATAAAAATTGTAACACTCCATATTTCCGATGTAGATGTGCAATTAATAATGAAGGGCCGATGGACATGGTACCAGGGACCCTGAGCCTGAAAGAAAGGCTCTGATTGTAGAAAGGAAAGGGCCCTCAAGTGCTTGAAACACCGAGGGCTGGCTGGGTTCTGGCAGCCGCCAGAGGACCAGAGACGGATGACAGAGGCAGGGCCGAGAGGCTGTGCTTGGCCGACGCAGGTCCGCACGCGGGTGTAACCAGCAGTAAGCAAAATGCGGGAGGCTGTCTGCGAGGCAGCCGAAGCCTGGGAGGCCCCGCACGCAGCGGGAGCGGCGGCCGAGTGCCCGCGGGAACGCGGAGGCCGTGCTCTGCGGCGGCACCTGGGGCGCGCACGCAGGTCCATCTGATCTGCGTGCGCGCCCCAGGCGGTGATGGCAGAGGCCATCTCAGAGCCCACGGGAGCAACTCCGGGGTCACTGGGGGCACGCGGGTGTCGGGATTGCCATCCGGCCTCGTGCAAACTCCGGGACCTGGGGCCGGTTCCTTCTGTGCATCTCAGGTTTTTCATCTGTAAAAGAGGGAGCAGTAAGACAGGGTTGTAAGGAAGCTGAGCAAGATATCGATAAAATGGCAGCCTCAGTGGGACCTTAGAGAGTGACTTGGGCCACATGTATACCGTGCCCAGCGTGGGGCCTGGACGTACCATGTCCTCTGGGCTCGTCTCCGTCCCTCTCTGCTCCTCTCAGCGCAGTTCCTGTTTCTCCTCTTGCCACACAGTGAACCGTGGCTGCTGCTCGTGGGGCACCCCTTCAGGTACATAAAAGTCACTAGGAATAACCTCTGTAAATACACGTTCTATTTTAGAATGGTTTTAGATTCACAGAGTGATTGCGGAGACTGAGCAGCAGGCTCCTGTACGCCCCGGGCCCAGTTCCCTGGCGCTGACCTCTTCCATCCGGGTGCTCCATCTGCCACAGCTAACGAACCCATGCTGGTCATTGTTGCTAAGTAAAGGCCTATTTCACTCCCATTTCCTCACTTTTACCTAATGTTCTGTCCCGGGATTCCTTCCAGGACCCCACATGTCCTTCTTAGGCTGGATGTGGCTGTGCGTTTCCCAGCTTTGCCTCATTTTCGGGGTCCTTGACAGTTTTGAAGGGGATGGGACAGGGCTTCTGTCGACCGTCCCTCCGTTGGGACTCCTCTGAGGTTTATGTCATGAGTAGCCTGGGGTTGCGGATTTTGGCGCGGAAGAGCACAGAGGTCAAAGGCCTTCTCATCACATCGTATCGAGGGCGGCTGCCGTGCGCGTGACTTGCCGCTGTTGGCGTGGGCCTTGACCACCTGGTGGAGGTCGTGTTCATCAGAAGAATGATTATGAATGACATAAAATAATTTCCCAGCCCTCAGTCCTAGAACTAAGGTGGTCAACTTAGTTTTAGTGGATCTGAAAAGTTAAACAATACTTATCTGTTTAGTTGTGTATTTGCTTGGCTCAAAAAAGCGCTCTAAAGCATGAGCCATTCCAGATTGCCTTTTAATCTTCATATGCTACATGTCTACCATTAAAATCAGCAGAAGCTGCCCTGGCTGGTGTGGCTCAGGGTCGCCGGTTCAATTCCCGGTCAGGGCACAGGCCCGGGTTGCCGGCCAGGTCCCCAGTGCAGGAGGACACGGGAGAGGCAACCACGCATTGGTGTTTCTCTCCCTCTTTTTCTCTCTCCCCTCTGTCTAAAAATAAATGAACACGGTCTTTAAAAACAAAAACGAAAAATGGCAGGGCCCAGGTGACCGTCCTCCCCGTGTCGGTCCCCGCAGCGAGGGAAGTGCCGCGGACGCCGGGGATGCGAGGGGTGTCAGCGCGTGCACCGCACCCCGGCCAGCGACCCAAAAAGTACTTTGATGCCCATGTCGCTGCCCCCCTGTTGGACACCCGCACCTGCCCATTTCTCAAGCTTCGCACACCTGAAGAGCAGGAAGCGGGACCTAAAATCAGTCATTCGGTGGAATTAAATTATAAACTAAGCTTATAGGAACTCGTTTGCTTGTGTCTTTTCAATTTTTAAACTAGCTTATCAAATTTCTACCATATTGAAATTTGGAAGTAGCGTCTTACCAGTCACCTCTTGAGAAGTATTTAACCCTTTGGCGGCTGCTTATCACCGATATGCCTTCTCCAAAATGTTTTGGACTTTCTTATGTGCACCAAGGGCGAGTCATCGAGGAGTGGCTGGCTAGGGTTTTACTGGGGTTCAGCTTTCCGTAGGGCAGAGGGTGCCCACCCCAGCTTTCTTCCTTTTGTTCCAAACACTAGGCGACCGGAAGTGTACAGCGGAAAGTGTTCTGGGTGCCTCTAAATAGACAGGTGAACTCATCAACCATTAAGAAATGGCATTTACGTAAACTAACCTACGCCGTCATAAGAAACTATAAGAATGGCCAACCCTTATTACAGTGATGCGCATTCTGGAGGTAAACGTAGTGTCGCAAGGGGGCTGGACAGAGCACAGGACCCTCCAGAGTCCTTTTAGGAAAAGCCAACACCCCAAAGCTATAACCAATGCCTCCCCCACACTCCTGTTTGCTTTGCTGGGTAAAACTCACATTGTACGCTCCCGGAATGGTGGCTATGAAAGAGTCAGTGAAGTCACGGTGAGCCTGCAGGCCTGGAAGGAGCCAGTTCCAAGTGCAGCTGCCTCCCTGGTGGCTGCGGGGAGCCCGTGCTCAGTGACCAGGCGGCCAGGCGGGCAGGGACCGGGTCCACGTCCTTGCCCTGCTACTGTCCTGTCTGTGGGCACATTTCTTAACCCTTATGCCTCCGTTCACCCTTGACAAAATGAGAACAATAGTATGCAGTTTTTAACGTGTAGTGAGGACTAGGCATGTGCGTCCATTCAAAGAAGGCAGAACATGGGCAAGGCTGGGCCAGTGTGCGCTGTTTCATACCCACCACCTGAAACAGCCAGGCCCGCGACGGAGGCTGGCTGGGAACATGCGCACACCCGCTTGGCATCCGGCCGCCTTTGGATGCCCTGCGCGCTGAGGAAGCGGGAAGCCACCGGCCACGGGTGGGGACGCGCGGCCGGCTGCGCACAGCCCCGTCAGTCACCCAGGAGGCCCAGCTGCACTCCAGGCGCTGGGCCCTCTAAGCTTCCCTCGGGCACCCCGTCTCCTGATAATAAAAACCTTTTGTTTATTTATTTTTTTTTTTTTAACAAACTTGAAGCATTTGACCAGCCCACTCCCTTGTGATGAGAAGGGCCTGGTCCCTTCGCCGCAGGACCCCTGCCCCGGGAGGGCCCGGGAGGTTTGCAGAGACTCTCTCACCTCTCCCAGTCTAGGCGGCCACAGTATTGGCGGTCGGCTGGGCCGTGGAAGCCCAAAAGCACGTTTAGATCAGCTCTTGTGAAACAGTCTCCAGGGTCCCCCCAGATGAAATCATTGGTGCTCCCCAGTGCACTTCAAGGTTAAAAACAGATGGGAAATAGTTGGGTAAGTTTTAAAGGATTATGATCAGGCCCTGGCCGGTGGCTCAGTGGGTTGGAGCATCATTCAGTACATCAAAGGCTGTGGCTTTGATTGCCAGTCAGGGTGCATGCCTGTGTTGTGGGTTTGATCCCCAGTTGGGGTGCGTTATCAATAGATGTTTCTCTCTCTCTCTCTCTCTCTCTCTCTGCTCCCTGGCCCGCCCCTTCCTTTCTCTATAAAATCAATAAACATATCCTTGGGTGAGGATTTTTTTAAAAGATTATGATCAGACTTTACCAGGAAGAGCGAGTGGAATTTTTCTCTTGAAAAAAAAAAAAAATCAGTCCTGGGGGCTTTGGATGATTGATTCATCTGCGAAGGAGAGAACCAGAGAAGAGGGAAACTTTATTCGTAGGTATCCTTGGGAACCAAGGCAGATAAAGATGACTTACACGCCAGTATTAGCGATATTCTTAGAATTGTTTGGGGACCCTGGGTGTGCACGGGAAGCGAAGGGGCTGAGCGTGCGGTGAGGGCGGGCTCTTTCTAAGGGAGCCTTAGGTTCTGTCTTGTAAATTACAAGTACGAGGCAAGTGTTCCAACACCCAATAAATAAAGTGTGACTTGGCAGATCTAAGATGATGTCTAAAACTTGTTCAAGGCCAAAGACTTGCAGCTCCTAGAAAGCCTGTTTGTAAGCTTTTAGTAAAAAGAAGAATCAGGACAAGTGGGAGACAGCTATTTAATTGTTTTTTAAACTGTGTCAATTTGAAGAAACATCTCCTATGCTTGTGTGTTTGTATACTGAACAGTTCTGGACCAACTAATTTACTTTGCTATTCGCTTGATAAGAAATGCATTAAAATTTAACTTGGGCTTTAGTTTCAATTTTTTAATGCAAAGAAAGTATTCCCATACCCATTAATCTATGACCTAGTTGGATTCAAAAGGAAATTTCATGAGAGTGCAAATATTCCTTGAAGGCTGCGCCCGGACTCAGGGCCAAGCACCACCAGCCCCTGTGGACGGCCTGTTTCCTTCCTATTAAAAGACGGTATCAGAATAGGGCTGTTTCCATTATAAAAAGTGATGGCAATTTAAATTGCCTTTCTAAATATAACACGTTCAAGGCCCTGACTAAAAATTCACATCTGAAACCATATCTCTTCAATCTTGACTTTTTTATCCTCAAAGTAGTCCATGGATGCAAAGACATTCTCTCCCTAACTCACACTTTTTTTTAACCTCGTGTATCGTGCATTGATTTGTGAGATGTAAGTTCTTCCTTGGCTCTCGCCCTGGAAAGTTGATGTTGTATCTTTTTTTTTGGTAACTTTATTTTTATTAACGCTGTTACAGATGCGCTGATCTCCCCCCTGTGCCCACCTCCACTCAGCCCCCACCCCCCTGTTCCCCGGGGCCGTCACCACGCTGTTGTCTCTGTCCTGTGTCATGCATCATGCATCTATGTTCTTTGGCTAATGCCTTCACCTTTTTAATTTTTCTGCCCTTCCAAAGAAGAAAAATAAAAACTGTTTCTACTTTTCAGAACAATATTTTGAGGACTAAGATAAGATGTGTTAACTTTTGGGGCCTCCTCCAAGGAAAGTATATAAATAGCAAGTTTTATAAAATTGTGTTATTCCACTGTGCCACACTAGGACATTTTCTGCGATCTCTGCAGGTATAACTTGTACCTGTATTGTCTTGCTTTCAATGCCATGAGGAAACAAAAACCCACAACTTAGCAATTCTACTTCTTATTACTAGCAAAGCTCAATTTAAACCATGCAGGGCAAATAATGGTTTAAATTAGTTCTGCACATGAAACGAACAATGCAAATCGAAGTTTCGCTGTTGGGGAAGGAAGCACTGAACTAGGTGTAGATTGTATCCAAAGATGGTAATTAAAATTTCAGGTAAGTTTGCTGAGTCTGAGAGTTTGATATTCTCATTTTTATTTGACAGAATAAGCATCAGTCTCTTTTCTTTTCCTGGTATTTTGTGTGTATGAATTATGATAAGGGAGGGGAGAGAATGAGGTTTATGGTATAAGCTGTCTTATATGGCATAAATTATTGGCTATAAGGATTTTGTCATTTAACCAAAGTGAAAGGTACCATTCAGAAATTGTGTTTGTTTTCTAGGGACACAACCAAATCATTACATACAGCAGACCAGTCTATTTCTGTGTGCTGTGTGGCCTTATTTTGCTTCTTGACGCAGAGGCCGAAGCCTGGCGCCCTGCCACGCACACCGTGTATGGCCTGCGGCTCTTCTCCCCGGGGTCGCTGCAGGCAGCCCGGGACCTCCTGATAGGTGAGTTCATGTTGGGGACGTGGGCAAGGACGCGGCGGGGAGAGGCCTGGCCCTCGCGTTATCTTCCGAATCCCTACGTGGAGGAGCCCCGGCTTGGCTGCTGGGTGGGGAGAGGTACCGTTCCCTCATGGCTGGCCCGCCGCCGGGAGGCAGTCTGGCACCGGAGCCCAGGACATCCGGGACGGGATTGCTCTAAAGGGTTTTGACATGCATCACGGAGAAGTCACAGCGCCGTAACGTCTGAAAACTGGCTGCTGAGGGGTGTCCGTGGGGCTCCCCGGAAGGGGCTGGCTCTTCCATCTGGGTGGCAGCTACAGTCCCAGCCACAACCCCAGCCACACGGCACAGATGCTCAGAAACACCTGCGCGGGCATGGTTCTCAGTCCCAGGAGAGTCCCGGACAGGCTGGTCACCAGCCTTTCACTGCTGCGCTTCACTGGCCCTAAGGGCCAGGCCAAGTCCGATGCACAGTGCTCCGCTCACACAAGAGACCTGCGCGGGGAATGGTCCAGAGCCCAGCCTCCCACCAGACGGCTGGCCGTTTGCATTCCAGCCCTGCCACTGTCCTAGCTGTGTGACCTTGAGCAAAGTTCATCTGTAACGTGAAGACAAAAACAGTACCCGCTTCAGAGATTGTTGCAAGTTTTAGATGAGTTAGTCTATTTTAACACGTAGAACAGTGCCTGACACCAGGGATGAGCTATCCTTGCCGTCAGAAGGCAAAGAGACCACTTTGGTGTTGGCCCACAGCTCTGAGGATTCTTCTGATGACACCCAGAGAGCTACATACACGCTAACTGGGGTCACACGGACCTAAGGGGCCGATACAGGGAGGCTGTATCCAGAGGCCAGCCCTGGGCCCGCTGCTTGCCAGCTGGAAGCCTTGCCCAGAGGAGACTGTGAAAGCCGTGGGTCCCCTGCTCATTTTTCCCACCCCCCCACGACAGCTCCCTGAATCTCCCCAGTGGGATGGGAGGACCCAGGTGTGGTGTGAGGTTTCTTCGAGTCCCTGCTGGGGGTGAACACTATAGTAGACACTCCACCCTCTGCCTCCCCTTTCTGAGTACCGGCTCCCCGTTCGTGCTGTGTCGATGGCAAAATATTTACTACCCAGCCCACCCAAGCCCACCTTTGTCTGTATCCTCAGCACCTCGCTATTACATCATGTAAGGAGCAGAGCAGTTCTTACTACCAGAGGGCTGGGCACCAGGCTTCAGAGAATCTCCAAGCTCAGCTGGGAAAGGAAACATGTTAGAAAGATACGGGAACTGATCCCATGATTAGATTCCCAGGCAGTGCCCTCTTGCTCAAGAATATACTTCTACCCGGCCCGATACTTTTCACTTTACTTTTATATTTTATTTATTTACTTTTTAATTTAATTCTTACCCAAGGATATACGTTTGTTGATTTTAGAGAAGAAGAAAGTAGGGGCGGGGGGGGGAGAGAGAGAGAGAGAGAGGGAAAGAGAAGGATGGGGCGGGGGGAGAGAGAGAGAAATCAGCGGGTTGCCTCCTGTACACGCCCCAACTGGGGATCATTAGGGTTAGGCTTAGGGTTAGTGTAGGGGTTGAAATTCTCTTGGTTGGAGCAAACACACACACACACACACACTCACTCACTCACTCACTCACTCACATGCCAAGAAAGACTTCCAGTCGCTTTTACCTTCTCCTGAGCTTGCTTGCGCCTCCTGCTGCTGAGCTCAGCTGCCGTGAAGGGGCCAGAGTTTGAGTGGCCAGAGCTGCCGGTCCCGACCCCGCACGCCTCCCTCCCCTGCCTGTTGGTGACCCTTCTGTTACCCATGCCGCCCTTGCTGTCTGCTCAGCCCCATCAGCCTGTCCGAGGGGGGAGACGGCCGAGGACGAGGGGCAGGGAGCGAGTGAGGACCTCCAGGGGTGCCGAATGCGTCAGGTGGAGAGTGGGCAGGTGGGGAGATGGAGAAGCTGCTGTCACAGGTAACCAAGGACAGGCGCGTCCGAGAGACAGGGCGGGGACGTCAGATTAGACAGAACAATAGAACACAAGGAGGAAAGTACCAGGACAACATGTGAGAAACATGGGGCAGAATTGGCACAAGAAGACCCTTCCCAGGCTGGGCAATGGATTAAGGAAGTAGAAACATGGAGAGAAACATTCTTCCATGATTTCTTTTTTTTTTACAGTCCCTCAAATATATTTTTAGACCTGCTCTGTGCACTGCTGTCGTTATAAGGAAGATTCTCTACGTTTCCTTCCAGGGTGAAGTGAAAGGCCTTCATAGTCAGCGCCCGAGTCCTGGGCTGCATCAGGAGACCACAGACCCCTGGCTGAGATTGTACTACTTTCCATTTGCCTCACTTCAAAAGCCCACGAGTCAGACTAGCTTTGTAATTACACTCTGGATGACAAAGCCAAGAGGTCTTCTTAGCATTGTATTTCAAAAGGATGTGGCAAAGCTAGCGTGCCCTGAGGCCACGTGAGCTACCCGGGGCCGGCAGGGGGCAAAGGATTGGGGGTGTCCACCCAAAAGCAGAAACGCTTGGGTGCTAGAGATACCCACAGAGGCTTCAGATGGTTAAAAGGCTGCCAGATGGAAGGGTTAGAAGGGTGGTTGTCTGCCAAAAGCCCCGGCAAGCAGTAGGTGGATTGCAACTCGCTGTGAGAAAGGCCGAACGGGGTTTGGTCTAGGGCTGTCCAGGAGCATCAGGGCTTGCCCGGTGAAGCAAGGACTTTGCTGACCAGGGAAGAGTCCAGGCGAGATGGGAGAGCCAGGAGCTGTCAGCCGGTGCTGTGCCCTGCAGAGGCTCTATATCAAATGGCCTTCGGGTCCTTTCCAGATCTGAGAGTTTTTGGTTTTAGGCCTCAGGACCACAGCCCCCGGCCTACAATGGTGCAGCTTCAATAATGAGATCGTTGGAGATAAGTGGAGGTTTTGGAAACAGTGACTGGGACGGGGTCGCCGCGCTGCACACCGAGCCCTCAGTCCTATGTCGTGTGTAAAGGCTTGTTTTCTGGGCTCAGACGTTGATGTCAGGACAAGGAGCTCATAGGCAGGTGTGGCCCATTGGAGACACGCAGTGTGTACGGTCACATCAACTCCATAGGCTTGGCTTCTACTCCCGTGTTATTTTAAGTCTGCACGCTTTTACCCCAAAGCTGTGAGTATGATAATGAATATTATTATTCACATTCAACAAAGGAAATGAGCAAGTTACAACATTTTTATTTATAAATTTTTATGGAAAATAAGTGGAACCCTGCCAGGAGTGCTGCATTTTTGGTAATTACTAGGGAAAAGGAGAAGTAGGGGAGAAGTGAGGGACAATTACAGACCCTCTCAGCCGTAGGCTGAGAGAAAAAAAAAGTCTGGTTACAGGGAAAATTGCCAACAACCCCAAGGCCTTTTTTTGTTTTTTCTTTGGGAAAAAAAGGACAAAATCATTTCAGCAACTCCACGTATCACTTTCCAGTCTCCCCACGAAGGCCACACAAGCTTTGGCTGCGTTTTCCTGCACGTGAACCGCAGCCCGACTGCACCTGCTGCCCCTTCTGCCCCCGGCTTTGCTGTTCAGGCCTGGAGCCTCCTCCTCTGACATCCCGGAGCCCTGGTGGGTCACCCGGGCGCCCCGGTGGCTGCTCCCGCTCCCGGGGGGTTTCACTAGGCCCCAGGTCCGATCGCACAGCCGGGACCTCCTCTGCGGGGCTTCCCGGTGTCTCCCGGTGTCTCTCACCATTTCGTTGTCCCTGTGCCATCGTCCTCAGGTTCCCCGCTGGCGTTGGTTTCATTGCCTAACGCATTTCGTATGGAGAACCGTCTAGGCCCATGGTTTGCGGAACAGGTTCCAGTACGTCACTGCCTCGAATATTGTATCACACCCATGTTTTTTCCTGTAGTCCTTCGATCTCAGTGTGGTTTTTGTAACACACGCAGCACCTGAGAAGGTAAACAGATAAGGTCCCCTCGCACCGCCCTCTGCCCGCCTCCTGGCCTGGAAGGAGTGGGCATAGCGCCTACTCCTCATTGCTGGGTCCCCTGTCCCAAAGTGAGGAGAAGAAATACTTGTCAGTCAGCTTGAGATGATGCAGATTAAAACTGTGATGCTCACAACTATTATGTACTATAATTAAATGTTTATTTCTTCTATCTTTCCTTTTATATCTCTGAGTTCTGTTCACAAAAATTGACAAAAGAAATTGTGTTTTCTACAGTTACGTCTAGCAGATCGACCTTTGTATCTTGTTGTCTCCTTTGAGAAGTGCATTATTTGCAGATGCTGTAGGTTTTTACAATATACAACGTGGGGCAAAAGTAGGTTTATGGTCGTGAGTAACCAAAACACAGTTTATTCTTGTATTATTATTTATTAATTACTATATTATTTTCCATACGAACAACTGTAAACCTACTTTTGCTCCACCCTGTACAGTCAGGTGCTGCTTGCTTACTGCACGCCATGGCTGGGTGATATTCCGCTGTCCTATATGTGGTCCTTTGTTGACCAATATTTCATTATATGGCCCATGCCTGCAGTTGAAGTCTTGACACAGAAAACATTACAATGTGTTCACCGTGCATAACAAAATATGACTCCAGTCCCAAGCGAAGGCCCATTTATTATAGCGACGTTCATTACATCACGTTGTACTTTCGCAAAGTTGGAACAGGTCCTTGGTGCTGTTGTAGAGGGATTTGTCCTATACTTACTTTCAACCCAGTATTAGCAAGAGAATGAGACGTAAATCTCTCATTTCTACAATTTCACCATGGAAAGTTTGTGTTTCTGATTTTTCAGCAATAACTGAACCACACACCCCACCCCCCGCCCATTCCCACTGCTGGCTGTGGTTCGTGAGTAGTGTCAGGACATAGTTCTAATGTTTGGACGTATCAGGTTTCAAATAAAATTTCCGTAGTTTTATTAAGGATTACGAGTACAAGCCTCATTGACATTCCGCCCAACGCACTGAGACAGCGAGGAAGACAGATGGATTATAGCATTGCTAAGGCGAGTTTCTGTGTGATTCTGTGAAACCCAACGTAAATAGAATTGAGAGAGAGAGAATGGTAGGGAAGTTGCTGTAAAATGCAGGTCTGCTCCATTTTAATTCCTTGAACAGGTCTCCGTGAAGCGTGGACTTGTAGCACATGGATGTTTTACCCAATTGCGCTGTGACGGTTTGGGGAGGTGGCAGAGCCACCTTCATCCCCCAGGTGACGGGTTCACTGAGACACGGGCCCGTCAGGGTCCCACGGTCGGTGTGTGGAGTGTCTCGGTCGGTCGCCGTCTCCCGGGCTCCCCGCGGAGTCTGGAGTCGTGACGCCCTCTGGGTCTCCAGGCGGCGTTTGGCGTGTTTAGGACTCTCAGCAACCCGAGGACTCAAGGGGACAGGCGCACAAAGCGAGGAGCCCCTGGGTTCCGATTGTCGCAGCCCCTTCCACGCAGGACGCGTTCCCCTCCCTGCCGCCCTTGGGTTTTGCATGTCCCTGTCATTTCCCCAGCCCCTGTCCCCCACCCTCACCTGCCTCAAGCCCACGCCTTCCCTTGCGAACGAAGACCAGCCGCTCTCAGCATGTGGAGATCGCTGCTCTGGCCTAGGCCCGCCCGTGTCCCGTCCTCGGCCCAGGCCTCCGAGCAGCTCCCCGGCACTGCCGCCGGCACGTTTTCGGCTCAGCCTCCAGCCTGCCCGCCGGCGTCCTGGCAGGGGGGTGGGCTGCGGTAGGCGGCGGGGGGCGGCCCCCGCGCACTCACAGCGCCTTCTGTCTGTTCACTTCCAGTATTTTTATATTGCTTCCCCGCCGTGTCCCTCCTCGGGCTCTTCCCGCAGATCAACACCTTCTGCATTTATCTTCTGGAACAAGTCGATATGCTGTTTTTTGGAGGTTCTGGTAAGTCCTGCTTCCTCCTCTTCCTGCAAAGGGGTCTCAACTTCAGATGAGGGCCGAAGAGCCTCGGGCCGGAATGGGAGCCTGGCCGCGTGGGTTTTCTTTGTCCTGGGCGCTGAAACTGCGTCAGGTCGGGTCCGTAGGGCGGATGGTGGCCCGTCTGGACTCATTCAGCTGAACTGAAAGGGGCCTTCCTTGCTCAGTAAAGACAAGCGAAGAGACGGAAGGGTAGACTCTCGGAGCGTTGGAACAGGTTGGGGCCTTTCTGACCATTGCTCGCAAAAACCGCGTGTCTGAGTGTGTGTTAATGGGTGTGAGGGATGTGAGAGTGTGCGCGCGCATTGGATCGTGTCTGGGAGCGTGTGTGACCGTGAGCCTGTGAACGTGACATTGCACGTGTGTGTTTGTGTGTATCTGTGCGGACAGGTGGCCTGTGTCCCCACACCGCCCCTGTGACTCTCCTGGCCTAGCAGTTGGGATTCAGAGCACAGTGGCCGACCGCACACCTGACGCTCACGTGGCGACTTGACAGATTGTTTAACTTTAAAGCTGACTCTCCTGTAAACGGAGATGAACACGCAGCTCTCATAAGGCTGCTCCAAGGGTGAAGTGAAATCCTGTCCTTAGAGCACCGGAGCGTGGCCGGTGACCAGCAGTGTTACCTCCACCTCACACACACGCGCGCACACACCCCAGGAGCCCTTGTTCCGCGTCTCTCTGCCACTGTGCCTGCCCCTCTCTCTCCCCCACCCCGCATCTGTCTCTGTTGCTCTCTCTGTCTCTGTCTCTGTCCCTGCCCCTGTCCCTGTCTCTGTCTCTCCTCTTTCTTCTGTTGAAATCCCTGCCCAGGGTCTTTGTCGTGGCCGCAGGTTTCAGCCGTAAGCAAGGAGGCCTCCCTCCTTCCCTCCCCGCTGACGCGTCTCCGCAGAATGTGCGCACGGCTCTTTCCCGAATTCTTTCCTCCTGAATTTTGAGTTGAATAATGGTCAGTCTCCCTCTCTCCCTGATGGTCACCCAGGGCCTGTTCACTTAGTCCTGGCCCCTGCCCCAGGCGTTTCCTGTTCGAACGCTGCGGCCTTCCCTCATGTTCCGACCACACTAACTGGTTGTGAGGGCCGCCAGGCTAGAGAGGACCTGCTGCTGTTTGTGTTCCAGCCGTTTCTGGGATGACGTCGGCCGTTGCCAGCGTGGCCCGGAGTGCCGCTGTCGCCGCCGCGCTCCACATGCTCTGCTTCAGCGCCGTGAAGGTAGGTGTGCGGACGGCCCTCAGCCCGCTCCTCGCGTTCGTTCCATCAGCCAGTGTCCCAAGTCAACAGGGTTTCTCCAGCTGTAAGAGAAACGGACCTGAGCGCATCGGGAGGAGCAGGGCCTGCCGGGGAGACCTCGGCGGGGTTAGAAGGCACGTTCAGGTACCTGCTTCGCCCTGGCGCACAAAGCCCACTGGCCTGGCCTCTCCAGACTGGTGTCTCTCTGGCCCGGTCACTTGAGGACACTGGGAAGCCTCCCGCCGTCCGTGGTGGTCCGTGGGACTGTGGGTTTGCCTTCACTTCCTTCTGAAATACCATCAAAAGACGATAAAGCGGTCACGGTGCAGAAAGCTCTGTGGAGGGACAGAGAGACTGGAGAGGCTGTAACAGAATGAAACTTTAGAATCGAGCGAGCAGATGGGCCCCAGGCTTATCCAGATGGGGAAGCTGAAACCTTGCTGTCAGCGAGGGACGGCGAGGCGGTGAAAAACAAGACAAGCATTCGCTGTAGGGAAACAAAAAGTTGCAGCAGAAAAGAAATGTACCTCATTTACCTGCATGACTGAGCTGTGAATCATACTCGGTGTTTATAACGATCTGAATAATAGTCCTACCGATCACGGAAGAAGGGGGAGGGGAGGTGAAGTGTGTGTGTGTGTGTGTGTGTGTGTGTGTGTGTGAGTGGGCGTGAGGGAGGCCTTAGTCTCGTCTTCTATATTGGAAAGTGAGCAAGTACTATCGGAAATGGAAAAAAGTAGAGAAATAACAAAACAAGCATGTTATCTGAAAACCTGGAGGTATGTGGTGAAGGGAAGCAGCTGAGAGTCATTGCTGGCAGGGAGCAGGGTCGGCGGGACGCGCGGGCAGAGGGCCACTGCCGAGCTCCAGCGGGCGGGAGCCGAGAGCCAGCCGCAAGCCCAGAAAACAGCGGCTCCCGCGGGGTCCTCCGGGCCCTCTCCCATCCGTAAAAACATCAACCAGTGAAATTACACAGATTTCTTGACTTTGTAGACACCTTGAATTCCATGTTTTAAACCACAGGTAGGTACCTCTTGGATAACATAAAAATTAAATTGCAAAAGAGTAACTAAAACTAATATATGTTCCAAAGGGTTTTAAAATATGCTGTACATCGCATGACATTTCTTAACTAATTTTTAAAAAATATTAACTTAAAATCTTATTAAACTCGTCAGTGCCACTGGCAAGAGCATGATAGTGTATTTCCCGTTCACGGAAGACAAGGAATTCTGCACTGTTTTCTCCCCGTGCGGCCCCGTGGAGTTACTCTGCGTAGTGATCGGAGGCAGGTCCCCTCCCTCCCGCCTCCTCCCCTTCCGAAGAGACATTTTCTCTCAGATGAAGGGAAAGCAGGAGCGGAGGAGAGCTCCTTCATCCAGAGCACAACGCTGGTGCTCAGTTTGTTACCACATCTATACAGTCTTGTGTAGGACAATTACCTGCTTGAAAGGTGTATCTGGCATTCCTCCTTTATTCTGACACAGGATCCTGGTGTTCCATTTAGGAGAAGGACTTGGACGGGTATTTCCTGAGTCCTTGCCCTCTGAGGACCTCTTCCTAGTGATAGCCTTCAGGTCAAATGCTGCCTTTAAAATTTGGGGGTCACAAGCTTTTCCTTGCAGGGCCTTTCGTATATTGTCCTGTTTGTTCCAGTGTTGCTTGTTTGTTTATATATGTATTTTTCATTCATTTTTTTTTTAAAGTTGGTTGATTGAAACGTGGTTTATATATTGCAAAATCCATCTTTTTGGCACGCGGAGTTTGGTAAGTTTTGATACGTGTACGCAGTCATGTAATCAACTCCACCATCAAGTTGTAGAACGTTTCCACCAACTCAGAGGTCCCCTGGCGCCCCTGTGGGGTCAGCCTCGTCCCCCACCCCTGTCTCTGGCCAGCACTGATCTGATTTCTGCGTGTATAGCCTCTAAAAATCCACTTTGTGCTGTAACATTCATGAGCTCCAATGGCTGTACACGGCTGAGTAAGCGCCGCCGCGGTCGTGAGAGAGGACGCCCCTGCCACCCCCGGCTTCCCTTCGTGCCTCTCCCCATGCCCGAGTGCCTGCGGCCACCGTCTGCTTTCTGTCATCACGGTTTGCCTGTTCTGGACGGTCAAGTCAATGGGATCGTGTAGTCTCTGGCTTTTTGAGTCTGGCTTCTTTCACTTAGCGTGATGCTTATGAGGCCCAGCCGCACCGGTGCTTGACTTGATGGTTTGTTTCTCTTAAACGTGTGTGTGTAGGTATCAGGGTGGGTATATTTCTTCCTATATCTTGAGTCCTAACTAGGAGTGGGATTGCTGGATGAAATGGTAAATGTATATTTAAGTTTATAACAAGCTGCCTAACTTGTCAGAAGAGCCTGTACCGTTTTTCTTGCGCCTAGTAATCTCTGGGATTCCTAAGTGTTCCAAATCTTTTCTAGCATAATATTTTCGATTTTAAAACAGTAGCCCTTCTGGTATATACTAATGCCTAATTGTGGTTTTAATTTGCATTTCTCTAATAATGACTGCTGTTGAACGGCTTGCTTACCATGTGTGCATCTTCACTGGTGAAACATATGTTAAAATATTGCCCATTTGAAAATTGCATTATGTGTTCTTATTATGGAGATATAAGAGATTTTTACACATTCTGGATACAAGTTCTTTATCAAGTATATATCACACATGTATTTTTCCAGTCTTTGGCATGTCTTTCCATTTCATTAGCAGTGTTTTTCAATTTATCTGTTTTTATCCTCACCCAAAGACATGCTTATTGGTTTTAGAGAGAGGGGAAGGGAGCAAGGAGAAGAGAGAGAGAGAAGCATTAATGGGAGAGGGAAACACCAATTAGTTGCCTCTTGTACACACCCCGCCTGGGAATAAAACCCGCAACCTTTTGGTTTATGGGATGGTGCTCCAACCAACTGAGCCACGCTGGCCAGGGCAACATTTTTTTAAGAGCAGAAGTTTTTAAATATAACAAAGTACAAATTACCATTTTTTTTTTATTTTATGGTTTGTATATTTTACGTCCTATTTGAAAAACATTTACCTAATAAAAGTTCACAAATATTTTTTCCTGGAAGTTTTATTGCTGTGGCTCTTAGATTAGATCTCTGATCCATTTTGAGTTGATTTTTGTGTGTGATGTGAAGTAGGTTGAGATTCAGTGGCACAACCATTGAAAAAACTCACCTTCCTCATTGAATTGTCTTGGGAATTTTGTCAAAATTCAGTTACTGGCTTCCGGCTTCTGGTCTTGTATTTAAGGACTTTGGCAGTTATCACTCCCTGTTAATAATAAGGAAATAGCTGAACAGACTGAAAAATCACCGCTGTCCTTGCATTGGAGACGTGAGGGAGCAGCACAAATAGCTTCCCCCAAGCTGGAGGGACCGACAGGTTGACACAGAGAATCACGACTCCCAGGAGCAGCCGCCTCTGCAGGGACAGCCCGGGCAGGAAAACCTGAGCCATCACTGATGAATCACAGGAGACGCAGGAGGACGAGGCTGGGAGGGAGTAGCGCCAGGGGGCCCCAGTCATCAGAGGGCCCACACTTCTGTGCGCTTCACCTCCGAGAGCTCACCCCGTTCTCGCCGTGAGAATCAGAGGGAAGCCCCTTCAGGAGGAGGAGGGGAGAGGAGCCACGTGGAAACCCCTACAGTGAGGTGTGCTGTTCTTCACCGGGCCTGCCCACAAAATTATGCCAGAACCTCATCCTCTGGGATGTCTTTCAGGGCGCAACCGACCTGGAGGAGGGGAAACGCCCAACTGTAGCCCAGTGCCTTCTGGTCATTCCGTGCCCTTGATGGGGGCACTCAGAGCACTGTGACAGTCACAGGCTCGCTCTGGGACCAACCAGCACCTGGAGGACGTCTCCCCCGCACCTGAACGCCCCATTACTAACGGCCCCGTTAGCACAGTTCCTTTGACCCAAGACATCCTGCCTGGCTGTCAAGAAAAAAAAATCACATGGAGTTTACAAGGCAGAAAACACAGTTTGGAAAGTCGGAGTAGGCATGGAACCAGGCTGAGAAGAGGCAGGGATGTGGGAACTATCAGACTTCTACCTGAAAGCACCGGTGACGGTGTGTTAAGGCTCTAATGGATAAAGGGGGCAGCGTGCAGGAAGAGGTGAATGACACACAATACAAGCAGAGAGACGGATCGTGAGAAGGAACCAAAAGGCAGTGCTGGAGATTGAAAACACCAAAACAAAACTGAAGCATGCCACTGATGTGCTCATGAGTGGACTGGATTTAGCTGAGGAAAGAATTCTGAGCTTAAGGATATGTCAGTAGAAACTTCGAGAGTGGAAAAGCAAAAATAAAAAAAAAAGGTTGAGAGAAAAAAGATATCCAAGACCTGTAGGACAACTGCAAACGGTGTAACATGTGTACTAAGCATACCAGAGGAAAAGGAAGGACAAACGGAGACATATTTGGAGCAATAATGACCGAGAATTTCTCTTAATTAACAACAGACACCAAACCATGGATCCAGGAAACTCAGGGAACACTGAGCGGGATAAATGCCAGAGAACTACGCCTATGGATATCATATTTAAACTGCTAAAACGCAAAGGTAAAAAATATTGAAGCAACCAGAGGGAGAAAACACCTTACCTATAGAGGAGCAGATTAGAGTTACATCTGACTTCTCAGGAACCGCTGTGGATTCAATTGTGCCCCCACTCCCTGCAAATTCATTTGTTGAGACCCTAACTCCCAGCATGATACTGTTTGGAGATGAGGCCTTTGGGAGAGAAACAGTTTTAGGTGAGGTCATGAGGGTGGAGCCCTTATGATAGGATTAGTGTTCTCTTATAAGATGAGGAAGAGACAATGGGTCTCTCTCGCTCCCTTTTTCTCTCGCTCGCTCTCTCTCTCTCTCTTTGTTCTAGCTTCTTGCCCAGGAGCTGACCAAAGAAAACCTGCTGCCTCCAAAACAGTGGGGGTCTCCACATACTGCCAGTCGACAGATATGCA